GCAAAAGGAAGTCTCTGGAGCCTGAGCTGGTTGGTCACCCAGCAGTTTCCCTGGGAACCCACCTGGTTTTCACTTTGATCTCTTTTGGTTAGTGACCTTTTCTTGTCATACACCTTGTCCAGCCTAGAGGCAACACATCCTCACAAGACTTACAGGTGCCACAAAACTACAAAGGAAAAAGGAATTTCACACTCACAAAGCCTCAGCAATATCTATGCAGTCACTACAGCAAAAGCAGACCTGAAATAATACTTATAAAAGGACAGGTTGTGTCTGGATTTCTGTGGTTTCCCATGTTTATAGTTTTATTTCCAGATTATAAGATACTTTCTTTGAAATCTTTTTCAAGCCCTTCCTCATACAACCAGTTTCAACACTCTCTTGCTTCTTCACCTCCTCTTTATTTTATAAAATATTTTCTGGGTGTTCTGACTGTGCATCACTTTTCTCAGCCATGCTTCTACTTCTCTGATCATGGTCTCTTTGTGAAAGAGGTTAGAGATCTCTTCTACCAATTCAAACAAATCTGGTTCCATGTGCAGCCACAATTCCAACCCTGGTTTCATTTTACACCAAACACTCCATGTCCTGTGCTTCCTGTCACTCACACAGAAGGAAAATACCAGAGACGACTCTGTCACAGCAAATTCTGTGGCTCAGACCTCTGTGGACAGATCTAGAGCTGACAGCTTTGCCAGGCACCACTATTTATGAGCTGTGCCTGTTAACACACAACACAGGGATGGATGTGAGTGCTTTACAGAGTGAACTATGAAACACACAAATAGGTTTGGCAGTCCCAGAGGCGAAATTCTGAAGCAACTGCCTCTCTGAAGACCAATACACACTCTCATTGCAAAATCTGATTCAGGGTTCAGTTAGCATGTTAAAATATGCTCAGCTCACAATATTGCATAAGGCACATCCTATCAGTCAGCAGATCAGCCACCCCTGGGAGAGCAGAACAGTCCAGACTGCCACAGCCTGGAGTTCCTGGAGCTGGAGCACAGTCTGGGCTCACCTGGCTGGCAGGTGCTGAGGAACAGGCAGGGCTCAGGAGGGTGGAGCAGGGGAGGCCCTGGGGCTGCTCTGCAGTGTCTGACTTCCTGTAAGGCAGGACCTACCAGGGTGAGCAGCGTGTGCCTGATGTCACCATCACCTCCTGGTGTCCCCACCCTGGGCCATCCTCCACAGCTCTGTGTGACTGCAGTGGCAGGATGGCAGCTGAGCACAAGAGCCGCTCCCCACAGAGACAAAGCCTGTGCCCCAGCCCCACACTGGCTGTTCCAGACAGGCACGTGACACTCACTGAACGGGAAACACAAACAGGCTGTTTCCATACAACGCTGACAGCACGAGCGTGTTTTTGCTGGTCAAACAGATAAAGCCTTTTCCCTCCCTCCTGCTCACAGAAATCTGACTTGAGGCTCTCCAGTCCCCTGCAAAGTACTCTCAGCAGTCCCCCCCAGCACTGCAAGGAGACAGACCTACAGCACAGCCAACACTTTGGCTTTTCTATTCTGGGCTTTCCAGGCCTGCCTAAATCCTTCTTCCACAGTCCTCTGCCACAGCAAGGGCTTCAACCACAGCCTGAAGGGCTGTAAATCACAGGCTTCTCAGAGATCTAGCTTTCAGGAGTTTTCTGGAGTGGTAACAGAACTCAGGGTTGCACTTCTGTCATGTAATTTTGCTGGTGGGGTTTGTGAGTTAGAGGTACATGGTGAGGTTTTAGCAACACCCTTTGTATCACAGGAGTGAGGTCACACTCAACAGAAACCAAACATTTCAAGGCACGTTCACAACCAACGACACCAGCACTGCTGTTAGTGCTGCAATGATGTGAATATCAATTATAACATCTATAATGCAGAATCCAAAGTGTGTATGAAGAGATACAATCTGCCTAACACTCAGCAATGGGAATGCAAATTGGAATGATTTAGGGGACTAAAGAATAACTTGAGAGTTTTGGTTTCAGAGTTCCCTCCCAAAGATAAGACTGAGCATCTGTCAGTCATCTTCTCTCTTGCCAAGTTGAGAATACATGAAAACACTGAAAGCATTGCTCTGCTCATATATACCCATACTATTTTCTGAGCAGCACAACACACCTGTAACACACCTAATCACTCACATAACTGTTGACAGGGCCATACCTGACAGATAAACAGGGGTTTAGCTGCCCTGTTGTTCTGCAGCTCTCAGCACCTGACAGTTGGAGTCTCACGGGGGCCAGAATGGAATTGCAATCACAACACCTCCAGACCAAGGTTTTCTCACTTCCTGAGCATAATTTCCTGACCTGTCTTCTCCCCACAAGGTTTTTAGTTGTTCCATCTCTATCGATCTGAACCATTTGCTCCAGAAACAAGGCGACTGCTCCGGAGCTCAGCAGTCAGTGCCACCACCTCTAATTGCTCGGGTGTTCACCAGCACAGGTGGGGGTTCCCGCCCGCTCCAGTTCCCGTGTATTTTCTGGAAGCCAGGCTGATCACCACAGGGTGTGAGCCACCAGCACTGCAAATCCCAGCAATTTGGCTCCAGCTGAAAGAAACACATCAATTTGGATGTGGTTGTTGCCAGCTCCAGCCCCGGTGTCTCAGCCAAGATGGAAACCATTCCAACCCTCACTGCTGAGCTCTCAAAAACTGGGAGGGGGCAAGGCCTCTGAGGAAGGAAGATTCATAACCAGGGAGAGAGGGAAAGAGATTTCCCGTGCAGCAACACTCACTTCTGCAAAGCAAATCTGTCCAACATGGTTCAGATTCTGCAGAACATCCACACAACTGGCATCTGACAGCTTCAGACTCTTCCCAGCTCTCATTCTGGGAACAGACCATGCTGATACCAATTACTTTACACTGGGATTTGCATCTTTCCCGTGTGATTCTACTTCTGAAGTGCTGCACTACCGAGGAGAGGTCTGCAACTGCCAAGACATGAAAGAGTGTTTGTTATTAACACATCACTATATAATTAGGGGCTTAGCAGGGGGCTGGGCATTCACATGCTTTTTCCTCTGTTGCTGACAGCACAAGATGGAAGCCTCCAGGTATCCCGTTAGGTGACAAGTGAAAATGAGTTCTGCAGCCAAAACCAGGCAATTTGGCACAATTTAGTAGAGAGATGGCATTTTCTGCTCAAAAAGGCCCAGAATTGGAACAGCACGAGGTGTTACAGACCGAGACTGAGCTGTGCTGGCCAAGCTGAGTGGGTGTCTCATGGAGCAGAGCAGCAGTGGGTGCTGAAGTCCAGGATTGAGATCTGCTGGCAGAGCTCGAATGGGGAATGTTGCCCAGTTTCTGAGAACAACACAGAGTCTGTATTTTAATTAGAGTTCCTCTGCTCATCTGCATGGCTCAGCACAAACTTCCTGAATTTTCCAGGCCTTTTGCATCCATCCAGAAAGCCTACCTTGCACTTTTTCCTCCTAGTCCCCCAGTGAAGCCTCACCAGTAGTGAGCACTCACCCCGATGTGTTTTCCTGTTGGCTCCCATGAAATGTGACAGGTACACACCCATTCCATGGGCATGGATGGATGTACGATTCTGTAAAGAGTGTCCAAGTGGGATTAAATGAGGCCTGTGATCAAAGGCAGGGATTTCAGGGAGCAGTCTGATAGCAGGGAAGGTGTGATGACACACAGATCAGTGAGCTGGACACACAGAACCGGAATAACTGACTCCAGGACTCCTGGGAAAGGCAGACAGAAGGGCTGATAAGATGGGAGTGCTGGACAGGACCATGCAAATCCTGCCCTGGGTGCTGCCCAGTGTTTATCAGCTCCAGCTAAAGATTCCATGCCAGGCACTATGGATACGCATGACCGGTCCCAGCAACAATAAAGGAATTCATGGTTTGGAAAAGCTCCTCCCCATCCCGCATTGTGCACAGGCCTAGAGCTTAACTGGCCAAAGTAGGTCAGAGGGAACGAGTTCATCTGCATACGTAAATTCAACTTAACAAGGAGTAAAGACAATTGCTTCGAGCTTGTGAGTTCAAAGTAAGAAAAACAGGTCTTCAGAGCTCCTTGGGAATTGGAAGCTTTGGGTTTCACCCCTCCCTGCTGTTTCCTCCCCTTGCCCACCCTCAGCCCCTTTCCTCTTGCCTCCTGCCTAATGAGGGTCTGGCAAACCCCCGTTTCTCCAAACCAAGCCTGCGGTCACAAACTCACACACAGTGAGGTCAAAAGCTCACACACAGAGGGCTGTCAGCTCCGAGTGGCTGTGAGAGCAGGTGCCATGTGTGCAACCCTCCATAGCTAATCTTCAAACAAGCAAGGAAACACAGCTTTTGTCTGCTTCCTGCAGAAAAAGTCTTTTCCACCTTTCTTCTTTTTTTGCTGAAGGGAACGAGTTCCATTTCCAGTAACTGAGGACTGATTAAAACCATTGTCCCCCTACCACCCCCAGTCACAAGCAGCTCAAACCACAAAACAGCGTCAAGAAAAAGATCTCCTATACAAAGGACTTCATAAAACCAGGAAAAAGAAACAAGCGGAAACTGCTGACATTGAGTTTTAACTCTTTCCATTCTAAAAATCCCACAACTCTTACCTTTCCCTTCCCATGCTTTTAATAAAAGTACTCCTGTGAAAACTCTTGGAATCAGTGTGTCACATCTTTGAAATGACCCAGAAGGAACCAGCTTGCTATTTCCATAATTAAACAGGTATTTAATTAATACCTTTTATTCAGCCTGAGTCAACTCCTATGAATCCGAGAGCCCTGTGTCCCTCTCCATTACCTCTAACTAAAATTCATTGGGCACCAGGTGGCTCAAGGGAAGGAAATAAGGAGCTTGAGTTCAGTTCTCAGTTGACAGTTTCACCTCTAATTTGGCTGTTTGAGGCAAATCTAGATCTCCATTGGCTTAAAAATAAACGTCAACCAAGAAATGGCTGTTTAGCTCTTTAGCTGAACATGTTCTCCAAGGGAACTTGTCTTTTTCGAAACCTTTTAGTTTTGCTGGCAGATTGTAAAGTGAATCTTTCAATTACCTTTGCAGCCTCATTCGAGTCCACTGCAGAACTGTTCATGGAGGCTGAACTCCAGCAGTTTATGGAGAACAAACAGAGGCGTCTCCTCCTGAGCAGCTTCAATTTCGTTGATGCGGAAACTGAACCTGTTGTAAAAAAAGACAACTTTAGTCTTCAGGGCAGCAACTGCATTAGCATCAGGTGACAAACTAATCACCCCAAAATGGAAGCATGGCTGAATTCCCCAAAGTGTTGCTGTGTCAGATTGTGTGCTGCCAAACCCTCTGCTGACACAGGACTAATAACGGGGTGCCCGAGCGGTGCCAACGCTCTGGGTCGCAGCTGCCCCCTGGGCACGTCTAATTATGATGTTCTGTGACAAGGCTATAAATACCCACAGTCCCACAGGTGAAGCCCTGATTGCAGCAGGGTTTTTGGGCAGGTATTTGCTCTGTTCTCACACTGCTTGCCTGGACTGGAGGGCTGTTTGTAACAACGAGAGCCTCGCAGGCCTGTGCCCTGGGGAGTGTGGAACCAGTGAGGTTTCGTAACCACAGAGATCAAACATCAGCCAGAAAAGCACCGAAGGGGAAACAATTAAATTTGTTCAAATGAAAAAGCTACTGACAAAACCCAAAGACCACCTGAGCAAAAGAAAAGAGGGGGTTACATATTAACAGAGCAGCTCTGGAGGGCTGAACATGGTCTGAGAGGAGAAGATGATCACTCTATTGTGAGGCACTTCACCAGGAAGTTATTTAAGGATAAAGAACTGTTTGAAGAATTCCTTGAAGAACAGAGAAAGCTGAAGAGCCTTTAGTGTTTTTTTCAGCATTCTGTTCTTAAAGATTATTACACTGTAACGCTTTAAGCTTATAACCCAGTCAGTGCCCAAGATCACTGTTCACTATCCACTACCAGGTCTCACTCTCTCCTCCCCCAGCAACTCTAGTCCCCATCATCCCCCTGTCCTGACAACTCTGCCTCCTTGGTGCTCTGAGGAGCAACTTCAGAGGAACAGAATAAATAAATAAATGAGGAAGTCCTTTATGGCAATGACCAGTAAGAAATGGAACCTGTTGGGCAGCCAAATGAGCCCGGAGGGCCAGTCATGAACTCATGATAACGGCTGCTGGCTGAACACCAATCCTTGCACCCTAAATAGTGGGAAAAAATCAACAACAAAAAAAAGCCTTCTGCTATCCCATCTCCTTTACTGTTTGCTTTGTCAGACTCTGAGGAGATGACAATCACTCACAACACAGAACTGAATAAGAAAATTATCGGCTGCCTCAGCCAACGCACTGTGGCACAGAGTTGTCAAACTCTTGCAAATTCTGTCGTAAGTCTCCGAGCGAATGTTCCTGGGATTTCTAAAGAAGGCCAGAAAAACTCCCTTTCATTGAAAAGGGAAAGCTCCCTTTTTCCTCACTACAGCACCTCTGTGCTGGATGGACCAGGCAGCAAAGGGCGCTCACAGCCCCTGCTCCCAGCACAGCCTCGGGGCTGGGGGCAGGTCTGAGGAGGGCAACTCACCCTGGAGAAGGCACGCAAGAGAATGAAACCAGATGTTACAAAAAAGAATATAACGCTAGGGTTGGTGCTCACTTCAGTCAGCGTTTGGTTTGCTGGACACAAGCCATTAGAGAGCCTTTGGTGTGAGGCAGAGGAGCTGGGGGACCACAGCCACGGGCACTGCGCTGCTTGGGCAGCGTGGAAATTCAACACAGACCCACACGCGTGTTGGGAAACAAGGAACTGAGAAAAGGAGCACCGTGAAGAGGAACCCAGGGCAGGGGAGGTGTCACCAGGTACAGAGGAAGACGCAGGTACGATGCCCAGCCACGCTTCGGCTCAGCGCTGCTGAGGGCCCTGGCACCGTGGCAGCACTCACCGCGGGCTCCTCGCCCCGGCTCCCCGCTGCCTGAGGGCCCGGGGGCCCGGTCCGGACCATCGCCGGCGGCCCCGCCTCGGCGGTGCCGTGAGGGAGCCTCAGCCCCGCCATGTCCCCTCACGACGCGCCGCCCGCGCTATTCCCGTACGGGGTTACGCAGGTTGCGCAGCCGCCCCGCGGGGCCGTACGCAGGTGGCGCAGGCGGGAGCGCTATTCCCGTACGGGGTTACGCAGGTTGCGCAGCCGCCCCGCGGGGCCGTACGCAGGTGGCGCAGGCGGGAGCGCTATTCCCGTACGGGGTTACGCAGGTTGCGCAGCCGCCCCGCGGGGCCGTACGCAGGTGGCGCAGGCGGGAGCGCTATTCCCGTACGGGGTTACGCAGGTTGCGCAGCCGCCCCGCGGGGCCGTACGCAGGTGGCGCAGGCGGGGCGGCGCGCCGCGATTCCCGAAGCGGGTTACGCCAGCCGGGCGGCCGGCGGGGGCGGGGCGCTCCGGAGGCGGCGTAAGGAGGCCCCCGCCGGCGGGGCCCCGCCTCAGCCGCGGCGGGGGAGCAGGAGGAGCGGAGCGGGGCGATGTGGCAGCGCTCGGTGTGCGTGGGCCTACTGGCCCTGGCGCTGGGCTACCTGTGCGTGCTGGGTCCCGAGCTGCCCCCCGCGGCCCTGCGGCAGCTCTCGGCCTCGCTGCTGGAGACGCTGCGCCGCGCCCGCTCGCTGGAGGCGCGCACGGTGGCGGCCTGGCAGGCGGCCATTGTCCGCCCCGCGCGCGGCTGGGCGCGCGTCGCCGTCGGGTAGGTGCGGGAGCGCGCGGGGAGCGCCCCCTGGCGGCGGGGCGGGACGGGCATCCCCAGATCCCGGTGTGTGGATGTACGTGGATGCGTGCGGGGGTGGATTTGTGTGTGGGGATGGATGTGTCGGGGCCTCTGCACGGGTAGGGATGTACCTGGGGTGTATCTGCCCCACTCAGGTGAGAGCCCCCCTGCAGAGCTGCCTCCAGCTCTGGGGTTCAACAGCAGAAGGACGTGGAGCTGCTGGAGCGAGTCCAGAGGAGGCCACAGAGATGATCTGAGGGCTGGAGCCCCTCTGCTCTGGAGCCAGGCTGGGAGAGCTGGGGGTGTTCAGCTGGAGAAGAGAAGGCTCCAGGAGACCTTAGAGCCCCTTCCAGAGCCTAAAGGGGCTCCAGGAGAGCTGGAGAGGGACCTTGGACAAGGGCCTGGAGGGGCAGGAGAAGGGGGAATGGCTTCCCACTGCCAGAGGGCAGGGTTAGATGGGATATTGGGAAGGAGTTGTTGGGTGTGAGAGTGGTGAGGCCCTGGCCCAGGTTGGCCAGAGCAGCTGTGGCTGCCCCATCCCTGGGAGTGTTGAAGGTCAGGTTGGATGGGTCTTGGAGCAACCTGGGCTAGTGGAAGATGTCCCTGACCATGGCAGGGGGTGGAACCGGATGATCTTCAAGGACACCTTCCAGTCTAAACCATTCCATGATTTCCTCAAGAGTGCAGCTCCTCCCCACTGCTCCATCGGACCCCAGCTGAGGGGAGGAATGACCCAGAACACTCCTGTGCTGGTGGTTTCAGGGTGCTGTGGGGTTCAGGCCTGTCTCCAGAGACCTTGTCCCCTGTAAAACAACCTTACATCCAGAGTCTGAGGGACTTGGAGCTCCTGGCCCATCCAGTTCAGGCTGGCAATAAATAAGTACCAGAGACAAGTTTATAAAGTGGAGAAGGGAGCAGAGAGAGGAGAAGGCAGTGGATGTTGAAGGCACCTGTGCATGCCCAGGGAAATCCAACGTTCTTCTTCTTTTTAAAGTGGAAAGAAAACAAGGGGAAAATTCAGGAATATCACATTGACCTCAAATGCTGGTTTTAAGACTGACCATTAATCTGGACATTATACAGAGCACCTCACTCACTTCCTTTTAAATATAAAGACTGGCAGGATAACTTGACTTTGACTGGAAGATTCGGCCTTCAGGTGTTGGAAGGAGTTATCCACCCCCATGGCTGTGGAGCTGTGTGCTGGCAGAGGAACGTGACTTGGTTTCATCCCCTTGGATCTTTAACGATTCATTAAAACATAAAATTGGGGCTAAAAGGCTGCTTGAGCTTATCATTTCTTTTCCCTGCCGTGCGAGGGTATTTCTCTCTCCTCTGCTGGAGATGATGCACATCCAGAGGATTTCTGGGCTGGTTACCTCGTGGATTGGAAAGCCTCAGGGCTTTTCGTGTCCTTTATTTTGTGTGATGCAGCTTTCACGTGTTGTGGCCCCAATCTTCCCTTGAGAGGTCCCTGCCAAGGAGGAATGCTGGATGCTGGGCACTCCACACTGACATGGAGCAGGAACTGGCCTTGGGAGCGTGGTGGGAGACGCTGAGAAAGCCAGAGATCCTGCAAAAGTTTTGTGGATGGTTTGGATCCCTGTCAGGGGAGTGTGGGGCAGAGGAATAGAAATGGCACTTGACAGCAGGTCCACAAGATGCTTAAATAATTGCTGGTATCGTCTCAGGAAATATTTGGTATGTGTTGGTATCTCTCTGAAACCACAGGGTGAAACAAGGGCAAGTGTTCACAAATTGTCTTCCTGGAGGTCTGGTTCCAGGCAGAACTTTCCTGTTCTCTAGTTTGAACTAGGCTGTGATTAAATTGATGTAATTGACAAGGAAATAGGGACAGGAAGTCAGGTTTTCCATAAAGCCTGGACCTGCTGAAATGGTTTTTATCCCTCCCTAACTATTGCAGGGTTTTTCTCCTGCTTTCACTGCATGCTATTTCTGGAAGTTAGGGATCGTCCTTTAGAAATTGCAGTTTTCAAATATTTCAACTGACAAATCGCTCTCTTGACTTCTTATAAACAGAACCAGCCTGTGTGGGGAGTTGGTGTGTGGGTTTGGGTATTATTAGGAGCAGCTGAAACTCAAGAGGCTGATCTAGCAGGCTGAAATACTTTCTGCTTTGTTTTTAACAGTTTTGAATCGCGTGCACATTTTAAACCCCAAAGATATATATTTTTAAAAGCTTCTAAGAATTAAAAATTAATTATTTGATTATTGGGCCTGTTCTTTTTTTGAGTGAGTCAAAGGCAGCAAATGAAGCAAACCTGTATTGTAACATACTCAACCAGCTCAGGACCACACAGCTCACTCTTCCTTGTTTTAATTCAGCAGAAAGGTAGAAATCCCCCTCTCCTCTGCAGTGCAATAAAGGCAAGTCAA